TGGAAAAAGATAATGAAAGGTTGAAACAAGAAAATAAATTTTATGGTAAGAGAAGTGCTGACAAACCAGAAAGTTCTTCAAGTGAATGTGAATCTTGCAAGACTTTAAAAGAAAAAGTTGCAAAACTTGAGAGTACGGTTAAGAAGTTTAATACACCACACAAAGATCTTAATTTACTTCTAGACACCATGCACTTTTCTAAGGAAGGAATAGGTTTTGATAAAAATGAGTCTAAGGATAAAAACGTTGAGCAAACATCTAGAAAACCTCCTAAGGCTCAACATAAGAAAGTTAAAAATCAGGATAATAGAAAATCTAGTCAACCTAGGGACACTAGACAATCTAGACAAAAACCTAGGAATGAAAATGTGCATGATAGACAACCTAGGAAAAGTTATCAAAATAATGTTGTGCATAAAAATAATTTTTCAAATAGACATAATAATCCTAGAACACCTAGAAGGGAAAATTTTCAAAAACCAAGCTTTTCTCAAAACAGGATGAATACGATTAGGCCCCCTAGCAACTACTATCAACCTAGGAGGATGCATAACCCAAACGTAGTTTGTCACTATTGCAATAGGGTAGGACATATAGCTCCCGTTTGCTTTACTAGGCATAGGCATTGGGTACAAAATGAATCACACTACTTTGCACCTAACACTCAAGAACCCAAAAAGACTTGGGTACCTAAATCTTATTAAATCATCTTTGTAGGTATGCTTGAAGGCATCAAGTGTACTTTGGTACCTTGATAGCGGATGCTCCAAGCACATGACCGGAGATGCATCCAAGTTCCTACAAATCAAACCTGCTAAAGGAGGAAACGTAATCTTTGGAGACAATAGCAAAGGAAAAATAATTGGCGTCGGTTCAGTAGGTAAGTCCGAAGACTCCTCTATAGATAATGTCTTGCTTGTTAAAGGTCTTAAACACAATCTCTTGAGCATAAGTCAATTATGTGACAAGGGAAACCGTGTGACCTTCGATTCAAAATCATGCACTGTGAAACGCCTTAGTGATAATAAGGTCATTCTACGTGGTGATAGAATCGATAACATTTATATGGTCAACTTAGACAAATCTCCTTCCGGCTTTGCCAAGTGCCTCATGAGTAAAGAGGAAGACACTTGGCTATGGCACCGTAGGGTAGCTCATATGAACATGAACCTTTTGAACAAATTGGTTTCACAAGACTTAGTAATTGGCATCCCAAAACTTAAGTTTGAAAAAGACA